ATTATGACGCATACCTTCATACAGGTACTGTGTGGCAAATCCCTTCAACCAAGATGCATTTGAAGCGAGTGCAGAGAACGACTCCTTTGTGACAAAGAATCAACAACTCCAAGATCAGAGTTGAGATCCAAAGTATTCTGAAAATTCGCCCCAGTCAACCGTGAACTTTTAAAAACTTTAGAGACGGTTCTGTAGGCTGTCTAAAAATCACAACAGACAGCTGATCCCCATCAAACACCAATGATAGAAGTTACAATTCGATGGCTTCTAGAAGGCTACAATTTGAAGCCTTTCACGTAGATCGATAAAGGTTACAATCTGACGACCTTCGCAACAACTGATGAAAGCTCTAATCAACAGCCTTTACAATCAACATCGGGAGTTACAATCTGACTACTCTCATATTTTTAAGGAGCCAAGAAGAAGGTTACAAGGTGACGATCTTTGCAATGCTCTAGCAAAAGAGAATACAAATGGACGGTCTCTTCTAACCAAAACACAGATATCTCTCAAACTGTGAGGAATTTGGCAAAACTGACGGAGCAAACCGAACCCTATAGGGTTGGTTTGGTCGGCTCCGTCTCGTCGAGATAGCCGATTTTCACATATAATTCATCCAATTCTGACTTACGGTTTAAAAGTTATGACCTGTTCTTCACAGAAAGTTATGTTCTGAAGTCCGTCTGCAAGACTGGACTTCGCTTGAACATTGGACTTAGCCTAAAACTCGCCAAGCCTGCCTGAAGCTCACCTCTACATTACAGAATCAAAAACACAGAGTTCGTGGACTTAAAACGCAGAGTTCAACTTTGCGTCCCACGAAAAAACGCACAGTTCATGCGGAGCCCAACTCTGCGTCCCAGGTGCAAAACGCAGAGTTCATCTCTGCGCAGCGCTACCTGTGCATTTTCAGCCTAAAACAGGCCCAACTTAGCGTTTTAGGTCTAAAACGCAGAGTTTGGGCCTAGAACGCTGTTTTCAGCGTTTGACTCGTTCAAGCACGATTTGAACGGTTTCATAACCGTTTTCTCCCCACGATTTGAGGGGATCACTACCCTATCATGGAGAGATTTATGGGGGGAAGTTACACTCTATTAAACCCTCATTAAGGAGAGATTTAAGGGGGCGGTTATACCCTTAAACCCCCTATAAATGGTGGGAAACTCAACTGAGTTGGGGCGGGCTTTTTGGATCTTAGACTTGGCAGCGAAGAGGAGATCTTCGGCTTGGCAGCGAGGGGATGATCGACGTTCATCCTTCAGCAACGTTCGACAACAGAGAGCCTTCATCCTTGGCTTATAAACCAAATTTGGTTAAATCAACTCTTTCATAGAGTTTCAAACTCGTTCAGAGTTATCAACTCGATCAGAGTTTAAAACTTGCTCTGCAAGTTCTTCTAAAACTCGCTCTGAGTTATTAACTCGTTAAGAGTTATTTTCAAACTTGACACGCAAGTTCTCCACAACGTCAAATCATGAGGAGAAGACCACGTTCCAGTGAAACAAGACGTTCGGATTATCAACGGAGAGCAAACTCAACACGAGCATTCGAGGGAGGCACTCCATCGCCACCGTGAAGAACCCAGACCTAAACAAAGGGGAAAATTCAGATCAATTCTCCTCTCTTTTGTAATCAGAAAATCCAATTATAATTGGGATTGAGAGAGTTGTAATCATTCTTTTTCTAAGCAGTTAGAGAGAATAAATCAAATACGATTCTTTCATTATTTTTCTTATTACAAATTTTTCCACAAACAATACAACCTTAAGGAAATCGGCCCAGCCATCAATCGTCAGTGGCCACAAAATTCACATGAATTGTTTAACCATTGCCATGCATCTCTCTAAAATTGCATTGAACATATCTTTGGTGTTTTCAAGTAAAGGTTCACCATTTTTAAGGCTCAACTTTCTATTTTTCCATACGAGATGCAGAAAAGTATGGTCTAGGCATATGGTGTTTTGCATAACTTTTTAAAGTCGAAAAACTCAAATGATAACTTTGAAAGTTTTAATTTTTCTACCGAGGCACCATGAAATGTTGCACCACTTGATGTTGATTCTGATGAGGACGATGATTTACAGACTCATTAGACACAACAGACGAGATATACATAGCACATGGTGTCTAGACCTTAGTTTATTAGCGTTTAGATTATATTTATAATAATTACGATTTTCTATAATGACTATGACTTGTTCTATAACGATTAAGACTTTATCTAAATTTAGATGGCTCTTCTTTAAGTAATAATTTAATAACATATAATATATGTTATTTATAGTAATAATATCTATTTATGTCAGATAGTTAATCGTAGGGGGTAGTTCACTGCTGGATTTTCAACTTTTAGCGACGGACAAATCCGTCGCTATAAGTCGTTATTCCGTCGCTAAAACTTTTAGCGACGGAAAAAATAAAGTTCCGTCGCTAAAATTTCGACGCTATAACAGGGGTGCCTAAAAACACTTTTAGCGACGGACATTCCGTCGCTAAATTTTAGCGACGGACATTCCGTCGCTAAATTTTAGCGACGGTTTATTAGCAACAGAAAATCCGTCGTTCTATTTTTTTTAAAAAAAAGGAAAAAAAAAATTCCGTCGCTAAAAGTGACATTAGCGACGGAAAATCCGTCGCTAATGTGACTTTTAGCGACGGAAAATCCGTCGCTAAAAAACAAAAACTTTAGCGACGGATATTCTGCCGCTATTATCATGTCCCGTGTATGTTTTCTGTCGCTAAAAGGGTCTATAGCGACGGCTAATCCGTGGCTAAATATTTCTAATATTTTTTTAAAATTTATTTTGAAAATTAAAAAACCTGTACAATAATATAATGAATTTAAAACCCTATTCAATCAACAATATAATATTCATTCCCACACATATATAACACATATATTTTAATAAAAATATCCCAACATAATTAAAATTATTTATACAACACACACCATGATAAATATTGTTTATACAGCACACACTCATTGTTTTCAAAGGTAAAAAAAAATCAGTCCTCCTGATCATCATCATCCTCATCACCAACTCCACCTTGTCTAGAAGTCCAAGCCTGTAAATATAAATCAAACGTTAACAACATGGCATGACATGCAAGTATAACAATAAGAGAGAGTATCATGACATATTCTTATATATTATATGTTTCGAAGAGAGTATCATGGCATATTCTTATGTATTATAAGCACGCACATATTCTTATATACACGCATGCACGCGTATACGCACGCACGCGTACACGCACCAAATCTGCACCCCTCCCTCCTCAACCACGACCAAAGCCACCACCCACCCACCCACCACACTCCACACCAACCACCCCCTCCCCCTACATCACCACCACCACCACCCAATCCCTACACCTCCCCCTCCTCCACCATGACCAAACCTAACACCAACCAATCAAATAACGCCCACCACAACACAACACAACAACAACATCACCACCACCACAAATCTCCAAACACCACCCACCAGC